AAAATAAAAAAATAAAAAAATAAAATAAAAAGTAAATGAATAAAGCACAGAATAGACTGACCACATAAAAAATGGCTGATTTTTGTCCTTTCTGGAAAAAATCTGGAGGAGACAGAATGAGGCCCTTATTGATGCTTGGCAAACCTGTGAAGCCAGCCTCGATGGCTGTTGGATGCTTTACACCCTACTACAGGAATCTCTGAACTAAAGCCTGTGAGCCACCTTTTTTATAAATAAAGTTTTATTGAAACATAACCATCTGGACTTGCTTATTATTTGGCTACTTTTGTATGGCAACAACAGAGCTGAGTCATTGTGAAGAGACTGTATGGCCCACAAAACTTAAATAACCCGGCCCTTTATGGAAAAGTTTTGCCAATCCCTGCCATAGTGATCTACATCCTTGCATCCAGAAAATAATAATTACATTGTATTCGTGCATTTAGGGCCCTTTTTCTTTGACCTTGTGCTGCCCGTGTCCTCTTTGACCTTTTCCAGTGCCACTCATGACAGCTGACCACTGAAGACGTGAAAACATAAAGACCAAGAGGTCAAGAAAGCCTCAGAGCAGCGAGGTGCATTCCTAGTGAGTTGCCATGCCCAACATCAGTTCATATTTTCCAAGTTCATGTAACTTCTACTTTTAAATTTAAGGCGATAACTGCATGTGTACCCATGAGTAAAGCTGTGATTGTGCATATATGTATCTGTTAGTGTCTGTGGACTGTAGTATCTCTGAGCCCACGTGCAAGGATCATATTCAAAACACAAATTCAGCCCGGAGACTAGTGATGACGGACAGTCGGACCCGAGCACAACTGCTGCACACAACCCAGCCCAGAGCTGCACATCCCCGCTCCCACTGGAGCGGCTGAGAGGGGGCCCCACAGCCGGAGCGGGGCCCATTTCCCTCTTCCCCCAGTCTGAGCAGCTGAGCTGCTTCCTGATGCCGTTGGGCTTGTGATTTGTGCTTGAGGCTGGGTGTAAGTTGCAGCCACAAGGCTGACAGAGTCATAAGTGGCCAGTGGAAGGGACCTATGAACTAGAGATGCTCCACAACAGGGCATCTTCCCGAAACCCAGCGATATGGGAAACAGAACTAAACCAATGCCATTGTGTATTCTAGTGCCATTTTAAAGCTTAAGTTTCTGTTTCCCTAAAGTTTGTTCCTCATAAATGTTGTCATAGTTACCTAACCCAATACCACCCCATGCTTTCTCATAAGACTACTTGTTCCCTACGTAAAATGTCAAACACCTTTGTTCCTTTCTCAGAGCTAAGCCCATGTTTTGTAGGAGTATTTCTGTAGCTTCACTAAATCATATCAGAAAAAAATCTAATCACCAACCCCCTGACCCGGAACTAAACCTAAAACTAGAACTGTATAACTATTCTCCCATCCTGCCCTTTGGGGTTGGCTCTCAGTCATGTGCGGGTGCCTACTGCCAGCTGATAAACTTGCTTGTCTCTGCATCGGGCCTCCATGGGTGACTGAAATTAAATAAGTATGTTTGCCGTAACACCAGGAATATGTCCCACAGGAGAATGCTCAAACTCTGCAATGGAAAGAGAGACTCATTTCTGTTAAATAATTTGCTCAATATCAAGCAGCTAGTAAACAGCATGTGGTGATTTTGTGCAGTATCCTTTTGGGTAAGCTGGATATACATTCCCCAGAACCCTCTTCACAGCATAGTTCTGGATTACAGTTGTCAAAGATTTATTTGTAAATGATGTCGAAGGCAGAGGATAATAGTTAGAAGTATCAGCAGGTTCCAGACTGTACTTATTCACTCCCACCAATAGCCACCTTTGCTTAGCAACTCCCAGCCCTTCTGACCTACAAAAGGCAATAGACTCCCATCAACAGTTCCCTGGGACCTCGCGTTAGCAGCTGGCATGCCTAAGTTCAGAGAATTTGAAAAACTTCTTTAATCCAGGGTATTGAAGAAGACACCTTGGGAAAATCGATGATGAAGAAGTTTGGGGAAGTGTACCATCATGACACAAACACAAAAGCATTTGTGTCTTATGTGACTGCTCGCCAAAGTGAGCCCCAAAGGAGGAGGATCTTAAATCGGGACACAAAGATTTCACATTCTTTCCCCAGCCATTTTCTCTAGCTACCCCTGTCATTTGCCATCTAGCTTACAATCCAAGTGTACGGAGTGCAAGGATAGAAATCATGTGTAGCTGAGTAACATGAGCTTCTATTCATCCAGTCTGATGTGTCTACAGCCCCTGCTGAGTGGCCACCTTGCCGACAGCAGAGACTAATACTGAACCGTCCACACAGTGCCATTCCCCAGTGAATAGCAGGTCACTTGATGGCAGGTTGATTACACTGGAGCACTGCTATCGCAGAGGGGGCAAGCTTCTTCTCGCTAGGGGACTTTTACTCTGCAAGTGGATTTTGTCTTTCTGGCCCACATGGGGGTACCCAAATCACCAACTTATAGAATACCTTGTTCATGGTTATAGTATTCCACCCAACAGGCCTTCTGATCAAGGAATTCCTCTCTATAGCAAATACGGCAATGGGCTCACAAAATTCAAAGGTCTTCAGTGTACTTGGTCACTCTGAAGTAAATGGCCCAAAAATGGAGGATGATGATTCAGAGATTCCATTGCAAGGCCAGCTGAGTGTGAACCCTGGGCAGAACTGCCGCAGGATCCTCCAGGATACTGTGTACGCCCTGAATCCAGGACCAAGGTATAGTGCTGTTTTCTCAGAGTCAGAATTCATGTGTCTGATAATTCAGGGGCTGAAATAGGAATAGTTCCCCTCATGGTGACTCCAAGTGACACACTAGGGAAATTCTTGGGTTATAGCCCCGCAATGCTGGGCTCTGTAGCTTTGGAACGGGATGTATCTGTCTAGATTAGTGAGACATAAAAGAATATGCAGATATCTCTCAGTGACGGTACTAAGCTTTTGCTGAAAGCAAAGGGACTATGGACTGAACAGGAGAGAATGCATTCATTTTAGAATAGCAGCTGTGAGCATATGAGCAGCTGTAGAAATGAAGACTACAGTAGTTAAAAATATTTTCCTAGGCCGAGCATTGTGGCTCATGACTGTAATCCCAGCACTCGGCAGGCTGAGGCAGGAGGATCATTGCGAGCTCAAGACCAGCCTGGGCTACACAGTGAGCTCAAGGCCAGCCTGAACTACATAGCAAGACCCTGCCTCAAAAAGACAAAATAAATAAATAAATAAAAATAAAATATTTTCTTATATTAACATGAATATGATACTATACTATATTTTAATTTTACACTATAATTCTTTATATTAATATGAGTATACTCATGTAAATATTAAAATTAATTTCTTCCTTCTTCCTAGTCTTAAAAGTGACCAGGCCCATTTATTACCTGAAAACAACCAGAAAAAAGACAAAGAAACCGCCAAAGGTTTCGTCTAGAGCCACAAACTTGAGAGCGCACATTGAGGTTAAAGGCGAAGGTTCCAGAAACAGCCAAAGTCTCTTATTTGAACCCGCCCAACTCACTGTGATTCAGTGAACCGATGACACACGCTTGAATCATTTAATCCCCACAAGAACCAGTGAGGTAAGCGTCAGTAACACCCGTTCACAGATTCAAACACTCGGAGAGGAAAATGCCCGTGAGCCTTCAGTAGTTGTCACACTGGCTGGGAGTCCAGAGCCAGGAAAGTGCATACAGAAAGTGAGAACGGGGAGCGGGTGAGACTTTTTAAAATGTGAGTTGTCTCATGTAATCCGCAGTAACTCCACCGCGTGGCTATTATTAGTCTCATTTCGCAGGCAAGCCATGCAAGACTCAGAGGTTTACTAATTTGTTAACGGCGTTCGAGCCAACAAGCGGAAGAAACCAGGGTTTGCCCGGGTCTGTCCCGCCCTGCAGAACATATATCCTTCTGTCGCACAGGGCTGTGTTCTGCTCATTTCTTCCTTCGAGAACTTCCTGAAACCCAAACACAACACAAGCAGTGCTTAGGGGAGGTGAGAGGGGACAGGGGACAGACTGGGTAGAAAATGCCATCACAGATGTGTGTCCTCCGTGCTACAGGAGGGCGGAGAAAGGAAAGTAAGTCCAACCTGGGGAAAGCAGTCTGAGACCGAGTCCTTAAAGTTGAACGGGAGTCAGCCAGGAAAAGTGAGGCTGCAGAGGACAGTCAGAGGCAAAAGTGTCTGCAAAGAAGGCTTGAGATGAGTTAGCAGTTAGCCGGGGTTGGGGTACAAAGGAGTGAGGCGGTGGGAGACGAGGCTGTGAGTTGGCCAAGAGCGAGCTTGGAAGAAGCTGCCTGCCTGCAGGTCTAGTTCTATCTTGAAGATGATGGAGGCTCAAGCTGGGCGTGGTGGCGCACGCCTGTAATCCCAGCACTCGGGAGGCTGAGGCAGGAGGTTCAGTGTGAGTTAGAGACCAGCTTGGGCTACAAAGTGAGCTCAAGGTCAGCCTGAACTGTGTAGAGACCCTGTCTCAAAAAGGCAAAAAAAAAAAAAAAAAAAAAGATGATGGAGGCTCACAGGGACACTGGAGCAAGGGCAGAAGCCGACGCAAGGCTAGAGGAGGGCTCAGACTGCAGGCTAGGGTC